GATGTTATACCCGTGCCACACGGGCAACTTCAATGCCATTTACAACGAATGACATTTGTGTGATCGGGGAATCAGCTCGCAATCTGTAGCGCGTGGAATGCGCTACGCCCGGAGTGTCGCCCGCTGATTGGCCGTCCACTCAAATGTCATTCGTTGTAAATGCCATTCGAGTGGCCCGTGTGGCACGGGTAATAATTATCCAGAGTCGACTTGCTTTCTAATCTTAACAGATTAATTAACGAAACCCTCTAGTTTTCCTATTATGACAGCTAACGCTGCAGCAGTACCCACCGTTAGCTAGGCAGCCGTGCAAACGAGTTGACACCAAAATCCCAACGGCAGCCCCATGAGCGCTGAGCATGCAAGGTGATAAAGGTGAAGGACCGCGGTTTCGCCCTACCGTCCGACCGCGTCATACAGTCAGATCTCCATCACCATTGGAAGGAGAATGAATGCATTAGTGCCATGCATATGACTGATTTTTTTTTAGTCCGGTGGCATTTGGTGTTATCTAGGAAGAGCTCTTATTTTTAAATATAGTTACCCTCTTCAAGTACATAAAAGAGTAAGGTTCAGCCTTTTGGTGGTAATAATTGCAAACATTTCTGTCCGCGTGGAAAGCTCCTTTTCGCGATCGGGTGCGCTCACCTCCTTCTATACGGGTAGAGAGGAAACACATCTTTGATCCCCTCGGCTTGTGTCACCAGTCAGATAAACTTTGCTTTGTTATCTTAACCTTCACGAGTTTTTTTTTTATTTTTAGAACGCAGCTCTTAGGCGCCCGTTTCCGGCTTGAGCGGCGTCGCCGTCGCCGTCGGCGTAACCACGTGGTGTATTATGGGACGCGTGACGTCACTGATGACAGCATCAATGACGATTACGATGACGTCATCACGATGACGTCACTGATGACGTCACACGTGACGCCACTGACGAGTTCACTGATGACGTCATCACGATGACGATGACGTCACGTGACGCCACGGGGGTCACGTGACCCCAGTGACATCACGTGACCCCCGTGAGGTCACATGACCCTCGTGAGGCGACGTCAACGCCGCTTGGAGGGAGGAGTAGCAGACAGGATGAGGAGGTGAGGAGGAGGGATGATGGGTATACCCTCCCCTCAGTACCCTTCCTTCCTCCTCTTCAAGAGCTGCGCTCTAATTCGGCGTTACAAGGAGTTGTAAACGCTTTCATTTTTTTTGCTGTATTTAAACCACCTTCTTTTATACTGCTAGGGGATCTCTTTAGAGTGGAGTGTCAAGTGTTTAGTCGTCTCCTCTGCACAGTGCAGGTATATTCTGAGATCTAGCTCACTATATCTCAAGGCCCTCCACCCTTTCCATTTTAGCAGAGCGAACGCTGGAGAGGAAGCGGGTCCACTTTCTCCCTCTCCAGCGTTCGCTGTGCTACATGGGAAAGAGTGGAGGGCTTTGAAGGAGCAGCTTGTCCCGCTTTTTTTTAGCCTGCAACGATTTAATCCGCGTACCGGCATCCCATATTTCCTTCTGCTGCTTAAACCCAAATCTTAACTGGCATTTCCTCCTCCGCATTCCTACTACAAATTTACTAAAAGTGATAATCGAAGTTTTCCAGTTCGTCTTCTCTATCTTGCTTCGACTCTTTTTCATGTACAAACGGTTGAAAATTCGTCTCACCTTCGCCCCCATTAATTTCTCCTAGTCTTTCTTCTAGTACTATCTTACTTCTGACGACCAACCCGTATCATTCGTACACCTTGATTCAGTGTTTTATCAGGTGCTCACAGAGTTAGCTGTCTCCTCCGCGTTGCTTTACTTCTAATTCTTCTTCGGCATTCCGTTTCATACAAAGAACTGCCTTAGCGAAAGTCAACCCGCAGCAGAATCGGGGCTTACTTTTCTTCAAATCCGGACTTTTGTTTTTTTTTCTTTTTATCGCCGTTTATTTTTTCCACAGAGTCGGTGTTTTCTGGAGTCAGTTTTCGGTGTCGGACTAACGTCAGTGCTTATCGGTCGGGCATGGCACTCCCCAATCTACACGGAATGTGCGCGTGACCGCAATACTCGGAAAACGTTCCGGTACCGATAAGAGGCGCGATAAGGGGTGCGGATTTCGATCAAAGAAGCAGGCTCGTGGACATTTTAATGGAGGTTGTGTTCCGGCTTATACACGTTACTGGAGAAAAGTTATTGATTACAATTACAATTAGTTTTGGTATACAAGTATTCAATTATATTGCTCGGTTACTGTGGACGAAACGTAATTGGCCACTACGCGAAAAATAGATAGTTACTTCGATTATTTCATATTTTCAAAACGACAGAGTTCTCTGCCGGTTTGAAAACGGGTATTTCGTACTGTCCATTATTGGATTAGGATCACTTAAAGGGCCCATGAAAAGAAAGAAAAAATGAAGGCAGTCTGTTTGGGACACGCGTGTCGATAAATAAATTTACGCGAAAAAAAAATTTAGAACAATATTGACGGCGAGAGATTTATTTGAATTTCTGCGCGCAAAGTCCATGACGTCACGGGTCATTCCGGAATGACCATCTCGGTTGTGAAGGCGAAGCCGCTAACACCTCTCCTCCACGCGCCCGAAATGCTGAGAGAAAAAAACAAGTGGAAAAGAGGTGACTGCCGACTAAATCGCGCCTCGCGCCATCAATATTGCGCTGAAGAAATTTTTTTTTTGGCGTAAAATTGATTTTTTTTGACACGCGTGTCCCTACTAGACTTTAAAAAAAACACTTTTTTTTTCTTTTCAGGGGCTTTTTAATTATTAAACAATTACCTTCTTAATTCATAAATTTTGGTAAACCATTATCTTAGAAGATCCTTTGCTAGGAAAATTGTAACGAAAAAAAGGCGCCATTTAAAACGGGAGTGGAAAAAAGTAACAGTTACAAGTAAATTTATTATTTCCAGAAGTGATCACTGGTACGATTACTCCCAATAAATGTAATAAAATAATTACACATTTAGAGGAAAATCGATTACAAATAACTTTATTACTTTAAATAAGTACGGTACAAGTCTGGTCTACACAAAATAAAGTAAATATTTCTTCACGCGGAGTGTAGATTTTTCCTATAAAAAAAAAACGCTTCGATATTTTTTTAGAGGGGGGGGGGGGGGGGTTGCTTTTGATTAAATCGCCTCGGGGTTTTTCGGCATGTGGTGAAAACATGCCACCCTAGTTATAAGTACCGTTCAAACGTGCCTTTTAATTTTGGTACTTCTTTTTTTGAGTAGATTTGAAAAGTTCTTGATTTCAAAAAGAAGAAATATCTGCTTGAACATAACATGCTCCAAACCCTTGGCACATGCCTATAGCAAAGACACGGGCCTGTAGTTGTTCAGTTAGATCCCTTTGATTTTGTAAAGAGGAATGACTTTTGCTGTATATTTAAATGGATGGAAACAACCACCTTCAATAAGGACCGCGTGAAAAAACAAACAACAACAACAACCTTAAACACCAATTTGCACATTGCTTCACAAACACGTTAGGAGTGCCATCAGGCTCCTTCGATTATTTGTTATCAGGACCGAAAAAAAAAAATAGCTTCGAGGATATTTTGATGACGGGACGCTTACATCAAGGTATTGGCCCGGGGGACGAGGAGGAGGAGGAGGAGGTTAGAAAGAGGTTACTGGGTGTGGATAAAAACTCTTAACCCGATGAATCGTCATCCTTTAGTCAATAAATTGAGTATTCAGCAAAATGATTAGATTATTTGCGCGAATATATTAATCGGTTTTGTTTATTGCCATGCATATAGTTTAAAAAAGTCAAAATTACATTTCTTGCTTTTGCTGACTTTGTGATAAAGGACACAATGTAGAATTTCGGATTTTAAATCAACCTTGAAGTGTAGTTGAGAACAGTCAAAATACACCCACACTCGCATATAATTACTTCAGTTGCAGTAACAAAGAGGCTTGTCGATATTCTTCAACAGTAGTGAACTTCTTTGATTTTTCACAATAATCTCTGCTGCGCTAAACGGACGCTCGCACTGCGTTGAAGTGGCCGTGGCAACCTCCTCCCTTTGTTTGGAGTTACAAATCTCGCCATTACACGTAGGTCTAAACTTCGCGTAAAGTTTGCCTTCGCACAGGTGGACTGGTTCACGTCTGCGTAGTGAAAGTATATATATATATATATATTTACTTTTTTGTTTGTCAAACATTAACCGATGCACAGGTTCATTCATCAAGTGGCCAGCCCTAGCGGTCGCGGAGGGATGTGACGTGATGGACGAGGACAGTTGCCATTTCACAATGAAGAATTTCTTCCTAAAAGACGAATGTCCTTCCATTTTTTTTATATATATATAAAAGTCGCTCTTTGAGGACGCGTGCGCATCTTAAATTTGGCCATGAAAACAGGCACCATTTTAGGGGGCGTTTTATTCTTCCATACTTATACACCTTGCGAGCGGTTAGCACTCCGAAGAAAAACGGCGAGTCACTCTGCAGTGGACGCATACGCAGCGTCTGATATTCCGTTGAAGAGCGCTGCTGAGCATGTTCAGAAAGGACGTTCCACAACCCAGTAGACAGGGATGGCCGTGCATTCAAGCCCATTTCTGGAAGGGTTCATACAACCGGGGACAATGCTCCGCCTCTGATTCAAGCTTCCTGCTTTCTATAATGCTTTGACGCACGCGCAGTCAGTCAACGAGCGCGTACTGAAGGCAGAGCATCTTCTGGGTTCTTAACCTGTCAGCGACCATGGTGGAACATAGCTTAATTTGTCCCTAGATGGCGCACATTTGGAGAGCTTCTAACACCGCTTTCATCGAGCGTAATCATCGTTATCGTGTCTTCAGATAAAATATGTATGTTCTCCTCTTATACCAGCCATGGTCAACCATTGTTCTTTCATATCGGCGTTTGTCGCCCCTCCGTTATCGGGAGCAGGACGATGGGCTGTGCCGCGTCGAAGGCAGCGTTGCAAGTGCTTCACCGCAGGAGCCTAACCTCTTCCGTTCAACCAGTTGGTTGAAGGTAACTGGACGTAGGTTCTGCCGTACACGAAACTCCATCCCACGGGCACTGATTACGACTACAATGTGGTTCCTCTTTGCAGGCTTTCTTCTGATCGCAGGTGAGTCCGACTATATAAGCGAGGTATGACTGCTTGGTGCCAACTGCCTCGATGTCTACAAAACGCAATTTGGATGTCCTCGTGGAAGCGCTTTCGACAAATATACTTGATATTTTGAGATTCGGGATTTGTTTCTTGCGCGCAGGTGGATATTGCTCGATCACTCAAGGGCATGCATGCTATAACTGTGCCGCGTGAATGTGTCGCATGTGTCTTTACGAAGCCGACGCACTTCGTGGACCTAAACTCACATTAGGTAGCTGTTTGAGAAGACATAGATGTGTTTCACTGTGCAGTAGAGAGAGATTGGTTTCACCTAATAATGGCGCCAGCTTGATCAAAATACTTCGCGAAGTACAACAAAACAAACATTATCCAAATGCGCGACTTCTTATTGTGTAAAACGATGCAATCGAGATGCATATCGTCAAGGAAGGGGGGGGGGGGGGGGGGGAGGGTGAATGCCACAGGCAGAAAAGAAAAAGATTAGCGTCACTGGCATGCTCACGTGGGGAACACAGTGACTCTTCTCGTAGCAAATAATAGACCACTCATAAATTCCAGCATGCAACTCCGCGCGCGATGCATTCTGGGAACCGGTTGGCACTGATCTGAGCGGCATGGTTTCGGTTTATTTGACTCATGGACGAAAGGGCTTTTGCGAGGCCTTACGTAAAGTGTATATGACTCAGAGGTATTTTTCTGTGCGCGAACCACGAGTTGTGGGCGCAGCAGCCGAACGAGTCACTTTATTGGCCTTTTTTTTTGCTGAATCCTCATACATATAGGGACTGCAGGGACAGAAAGAGGAACGTTCGTTTGCCTTTGTGCACGAAGCATTCTTTGGGATGTCAGTTGTTGGCGATGGGGATCGAAGAATGTTGCCCACGGCCTTTGCTCTTTATGATTTCTGCTTACGGCTAAAGAACAACGGCCTAAAGCTCTATACAAATAAGCCATAGTAAAGGCTAGAAACGACAGCTTTTGACTTTCAAGGATGTCAGGCCAGCTGTTGCTCGCGCGTAAGCGCGAACGCCATAATGTCGCACTTGCAGCCTTGTTCTTGCTCAGGATAAAATGTGTGTGCTTTGGCATGCTCGTTAACCACGCGCGCGTTCACGCGAGAAGAGTAGAGCCATGTAGTTTGTTTTCTCTACGAAGGACACGCGTTAATGCGTTGAGTGTTGCCAGTTTTAGCTCGGATATCATATCGAGGCTAGACAAATCTTCAGTGTGTAGGTCCGAACCCGGTCCTGACTGGTGGAGCCTGACGAATGCTGATGGTAAACATCACGGCGCGCGTGAAACTTTGGCGAACATTAAATAACGCGCCAAGGCTGTGAAACGTTCACGTCAGATCCCTCTTACACGGGGTCTGCCGGACCTTGGATTGGCAGTTATCAGTGACCTCACATGTTCATCAACAGCACGAGTTATCACATGCTTTATCTGGACTTCATCGTCTTGCTCATTCTCAAAAACCGTCACTTGAGCGATGTACGTGTTGTCGACGTGTTTAGTTAAAGATAAATGGCGTCATCTTGTTTTACCTAAAGGTAATGAAACAATGGAACCTCATCATGTTTCGTACTTTACCACATCAGGCGCCCAGTCGCCTGCCCCACAGGCGTTTGTTTAGAGAACTCGCTCAAATAATCATTGTGATGCCTAGTGTCACTGACAGGACGAGCAGTGCGATGATTTGGGGGTGTTAGGAGTGACTTGATTCTCGCAGTGAATGGAAACGAGGCCATTTGCACACACACATAAGAACCGAAACATTCAAATTACAAGAGAAAGTGTTCTTTGGGGAGTGACGACAAGATATATTCATATCACAGTCAGGGTTCAAAGAAGCAGTATAACATTTTGGAGGGGTTTATGAAAAAGAGTAAATAGTTAACGGACGAAACTGATCCGTTGACTGAGGGCTGGCTGCTTTGGATGTTTGGGCAATGAAGTGTTGGTCAGTCATGACAAGAATGAGGCTGGTGGACCTAGGGTGGATCGGCGTCGACGTTCGGTTGGCGCACTGGGAAAGACTGCGTCGGCGGATGTTTAGGGCTTCAACCAGCCATAGGCCAGGCCAGGGGAAATCAGAAGAGCTCGGGTCTGTCGCCCACACAGTTATTGCAATGCACGCTAGAGGTTGAACTGGCGCTAGTTTCTATGCAACTTCCCGTACGCAAATTGAAGCAGACAATATTTAGCCTACTTTTGCGGTGCTCCTGTGCATTCCTATGGAAAAACGCACGTGCATTTTGTCTCTCCGCCGGAAAATAACGGATAACTTTTGTTATTTAGGCCGTACCAAATAATATGTACCTTTGTTAGCGTTGTAAGAGTGTAATTGTTTTATTTACAGCATTTGTCTTCACCAGTGAACAATGTTAAACTTCGCTCTATTTCAAACCTAAACCTCTGTTCTATAGCAGCTGTGTAAAAAGGAGTGACGATTCTAAGGAAAAATAACAATCGTACAGAATGTAGAGTGTGTTCAAGGTTCGCCAGCATTCCGGTAACGCTTACATATTCATAATGTACCGGTCCTGTCACTATATGAAAATGACCCCGTCGTGCATCGAGTGCTTAAAAACGTTCGAAGCGTAAATAAAGTACGTGGGCTATGAAAGGTATTTCTTTTGATTATTTTTTATGCCGGGCAGCTTTTATCGGGCACCTGTTCTCTGACGTTTTCCTAATTTCAAAAATTTCGTGCGTGCGGGTGATGTTTTGAAGGCAAAGGAAGCGTCTTCGGCATATTTATGAGCAAAAATAATAAAGCAGTACTTTTTTATTGCAAATCGGACTATATTACGTGGCCTACAATTACGTTTTATCGAACATGTGCAGGGGGTTACTGATCCACTGGGTAGTGTTTGCCGTCTTCCTTAGTTTCCAGATGTCTTTCGTTCGTTTGGCACCTATTTCCCCCATGCTGAAAAGCGCCGACGCCGTGTTCGTGCTAACAGTGTCCGACAGTGCACATAAATGCATGTATGAAGCTGTTTTAGCACCGTATTTAAAGCATGAATTTGAATGAAAAACGTCGTAGCTACATAGTACGTACGCATTATGCGCAATATTTGCTCTTTTAATCGAGCGCAGGGAGCAAATGCGCTCATTTACTCATATAGAAATGCATTACCGGAAGACAATTTCCGACTGCATAGTTGCTTCTGCTTCGATTCGCGTCAGCACACTAGCGCCAGTTGAACCTCTAGCGTACATTAGAATAACCATGCTGTCGCCCGACGTTTTTCACCTCCGCGCCCCTCTGTCTTCGGCGTGGTCCCGCATTCAGAAAGATTCGAACGCAGCTTCTCAAATGTCGCCGACTTCGCACGCGCACAATCGAACGCGCGTGGCACGTGCACATGCACGTGCACGTGCTTATAGCCGCGCTGATCACAAACAGGGAGGTCTTTCAGTTTTCCAGCGCGAGCTTTCTACCTTCAATGAAGCGTCTCGTAGGCCTTGAGTGTGCACTCGCAGCCCAACCCCTGATATCAAAGGCGACGAACGCGTCTCCGACGTCCTATCCCGCTCATATACCAAAAGTTGTCCCGAAGAGGCAACAAATGACGTCACAGAAGCCGGAGTGTCATGCTGTCGGATGTCACGATCCTGGCGGTTGGCCGTGGAAATGCTGGCGAAAAGCACGAGCGAACGCAAGTGTCACTGTCATCGCAGCGTCTCAACCCCTGCTGCCTAAACTTCCGTGGACTGTCTAACTGGAGAGCGACCTGCAGTAGACCAGGCGTCTGCCACAAATACCACAGCTGCTGGGATACCGCGAGGATCGCGACCGGCGACGGCACGACAGTTCTATGACGCCATCAGGTGGAAATTGAGGGACCAGTTTTGTTGGACGTGGTAAATACACCACGGAGAGACGCGTTCCGGTCCACATTCTAGACACAATAGCTGGGCTTCTGAAGACGCCCTGCTGTTCTCATGCTGTCGGTGACTATTCGCAACTCCAACGCCCTATAGATGGCGGGGCGGTAGTTCCAAGATGGCGGAAGAGACGGGGATAGATTCTCCAGGATATCCCATGCGCCTGCTCGCTGACGCTGTTCAGCGCGCTAAAAAGAATTTATTTGTCTACAAATACGAAGCGGTTATGGAGGGATCGTATAACAGGTGACGGAGATGTTGATGCACGTTAGGAAAACGAAAAGGCTGATTTTTAAAAGTTGCAGAAACCTCAAATTGCGAAACTTTGTGGTGAGCGAGCGCGTTTGAGGCACCGGCGACGTTACTGTTTGTGGCAGAATATTTTTTGAAGGTGATGAAGATATATTTGCGCTTTGCCTGGCCATTAGTGCTCTAAAAAGAGAGCCGCGAACGGTGACTGTCAAGCATCGGAAGAGCAGCAATACACATTATTGGTGTCTTCGCGTCACAGCCTCTCAAATCGCTCCTCACCGTCTCGGTTTTAGTGTATTGCAACACGTAATCAAACTGCTCTATGGTTATTGATAAAAAGTTTATTACCGCAGACTACCGAGCGGTGTAGCATTACGACCGCAAGATCGCGCTGCGCCTTTGAAGTACAATTTTCATAGCGCGCCAGAAGTGTTGCCGTGCTCATCACTAAAAAAAAACAAAAAAACATTGTAGTTCTTACACCCCTTGTCACATATACGACACTCCAAAACTTCAGTTCGCCGTGCAGCCCACTGACGTCAAACTGACGGCCCCAACTTTTACGAGAGGCTTGATGACGGCGCAATATAAGATATTAAACAGCTAAAGTACGCATCAAAGAGTACCGAAAAACAAAACAAAAAACACCGCGGTTTTGCAGAAGGGCCAAGAAAACCCCGATTACTTTCTTCGTTTTACAGTCCTTTACACTTACTTAAGCTATTTTAATAAGTTGCCCAACTCGGCTATCAAGCCGCTCGTGACAGTTGGTAGCGCCGGTTGAACGTCAGTGCGCTGTACGTCCAACTGAAGTTTAGGGGTGTCGTACACTATGCGAAAACTGCCTA